ACAGAGCTGGTGCGTTTGTGTGGCTACAACTTCTCACAAACATGAAAGGGCTTGTGCATTTCTTTTTTTTTTTACCGCCGAGCGGACCGCTTTTGGGCCCACGGGCCTTATGTTTGACACCCCTGGTTTACAGTGTTTGCCGTCCTGCCTCTGTTCGTTCCAAACATCAGTGAAGAAAAACATGGGAGAAATCTCCAGTAAACGTGTGTGAAAACTCTGGATGTAACTCTTTGAACCCGTGACACTGAGCGGTGATTATGAACCCAAACCAAAACGTCATCCACACTCAAAGAGTTCTAAACGCATCGTTTACCCTCGACGGCGAAAGCATCAACGGAACGTCCGACAGGGTTGGCTTTAATTTGACACTTCAGTTCAAGGCACTCTCACGGGTGTTTCCTTCCCCCTGAAGGTTGAGTTCAAGTTCATTCGATCTCCTACAGTTATTTCAAGCGTTTTGTGCTGGAAGCATTTCATAGACGGCGAGGAGGAGGAGGAGGACGAGGAGGAGGAGGACGAGGAGGAGGAGGAGTAAAGCACCTGGTCCTAGCGACCAGGACGTCAAGTCTTCACAGTGATGGCCTGACGGTGAGTGAACGAAGCTGCAGCACCAACTACAGGTTCCCTAACGTCAGGTGTACAAAGAGAGGAAGACCTATGTACAAATGAGGGTCTGTATATATTGAACTCGACTCCCACCAACACTGGGACGACGAGGTGAGATGATGCGAACGAACCAGCACTGAATACACACACACACACACGTATGTACATATGGTTACATACATGCTGGTTAAATATATATATACTATATATACAGTATATGCACAAAAGATTGACTAGCACTATCGTTAATTTTTTTTCTTCTTTTTTTTTCCTATAGTAGAGCTGGAAGACACAATGCTACTCTGGTTAAAAAGTTCTGGTTCTGGGGTTGGACCGCTGACACGAGGGGGCAGACGTGGGGCTGCTGTTGCCCTGGGCCGAGGATGCCACGGGGAAGGCAAAAACCCCCACGGGGAGAGGGTAGGCCGACACGGCCCTGAACGGAGCGGGACAGTGGAGCTGATAGCTGGGAGGGGGCGCTGTAGAGGGGCTGCTCATCATCGTGGACCCCGGGCTGTCGGGCCAGGACAGGGGGACACTGTAGGCCTCAGAGTTAGGGACCGTCCAGGAGGACACCTACGAGACACAGGAAACACGTGTTCAGTATAGTATTTAGCAGTACGCATACGTAGTACACAGAATACTACTACATAACAACAGTATTCTTGCCTTCATTTACTTCAGTTCTTTCTTTCGCACTGCACTTCAATTAAACCAAACCATCAACAGCTGCCCGTAGGGGGCGTAGTCCCATAAATAAGCAGTGACCAGGAACAACAAAAAACAAAGGAAGAAGAAAATCTGACTGGGAATTGATAGGAATTCAATACTTTTGATTCCATTATTAATACCATTTAACGATTCGATTTATTATCGATTTTCATTATGGGAGAAAATTAAAATATCGTCTATATAAAGTGAAAATATAGCGAAAAATCATGTTAGGATTCAAATAGATCCGACAAACTATATGATTTTTATTATTAGACGACGTTGAATGATTATAGTGAATTTTTCCGAGGCACCTTGAACGCACCGTGGAACACGTAAACCACCTGCTGAGTTGCTCTATCTTTACATCTCTAACGAACGAAAATTGGCTAGTGTTTTTGGCTAGTGTTTCGACCTGTGAGTCATGGGCTGCTGAGTTTCTTCTGTATTTTTTTTTTCTCATGTTGAATCAACAATAAATGATGATCGATTCACACACCGCTGAGGTGCTGCTGCTGCTAACGGCCTGACGAAAGGTGTGCTCATTTACATACATGGACGAGTTCGACGTTAGCAGGAATACGTTGGAGTTTCGAGCTTATTTCAGTTGTTTAACGCCATGGTTAAACAAACAGAAATAATCGATTCCACGGAATCTGACACACCCACGCAGCAGGGTTCACACGAGGGAGAGAGACACACTGTCACAGGACACGAACTACGGTCCGTTCAAAGTGGACCAAAAAAGCACTGGAGTAAAAAAAAAAAAATTTGAATAATTTGTTTGTAAATTACAAATGTTCTTGGAAGTGAAATAAAAAATATATTTAAAGCAACTCGTCTCATTTCTGTTTTGTTTAGTTTTTTTTGTCTTCTATTTGTTTTAATTCTGTTTGTCATTACCACCACCGACGATCTCAGCCTAAAGTCCAGTGTCATAAATGATTAACTGCAGTTGGTCTAAGGTTGAAGTAACAACAATCCATTAAGTACGTTAAACAAATACGCGATAAAAAAAAACAACGTTACATTTCTCGTTATCTTGACAGAGACAACGGTAACCTGTGAATAATTAGCACTAGCTTAACTGATTGATGCTAACGTTAAAATGTTAACGTTTATTTTCTTCAGATTATATTATTTCATTTTTATACATTATTAATATTATTATTATTATTGTTATTATTATTACAAATATTAATGTAATAAAATGTAATAAGAAAATTTTTAAATTTTAAACTTTCAAACAGTTAGCATCATTGATGTAATAAAATGACTAAAATAATACGAATAAAACTTTCAAACAGTTAGCATCAATACAGTTAGGCTAGTGCTAATTATATAATTGAATAGTCTTTATTGTCATTGTAACACGGTGGTACAACAAAATTGAATTCAATTAATTATTAATTTAATGAATTAAATGAATGATTCACAGGTTACTGTGGTCTCTGTGTTATAATAACGAGAAATGTAACATTTTTATCACTTCAGACTTGGACGTCTCCACATTACCAGACAAATGCTAATGCTAGCATGAAAGGTGGAAGCGGCGCACTAACCAGTTGCCTCTGAACCACCTGGTCCCACAGCCGCTGCTCACTGTAGTTCAGTGAACTCGTGCGCGGCCTCTGGGTGACAATGAGAACTTCTTGAGCCCAGTCGTCCATGAGACGCTGCAGGTCCTCGGGCAAGTCTCTGTCGTGGACACTGGTGGACGTTCCGCTGTACGTTCTGGTCTTGTTGTTGCTGTTATTGGCCTGAGCCTGTGCCATCACCGACTGGTGAGGAGGCGGTGGAGGTGTGGCACCAGGGGGCGGCTGCTGGGGCTGATTGAAAGCGCCCGGTCCTGGTGCGGACCCTGAAAATACACACATTAGAACGTGACGACTGACGTCACGGTACGACAAAGAACAGGATTTTTAATGAAGGAGAACTCTCTGCACATGCTCAGAAAATGATTACAAGTGCAATGCAACATGAACCTCTTCAATATGAAACACCACTGTGTATTTTACTTTGTCAAATTCAAATTTTAAGATGAGGAGGATTAACTTTCACCTTTCCAAATCATGTTGGTTAAAACGCCCAGTTGTTGACGTCGCAAACACCATCTGAATGAGAGTGAATACTTGGTTTAATGATCTGAATGAGAGTGAATACTTGGTTTATCTATTTTTATTTTTTTTATTTTATAATTAGAGTGAGTTCATGCTCGGTGTTGTGTTTGGAAGTGCTTCATGTTGCTTTGCTCTTGTAACGATATTCTGAGCATATTTCAAGTAGAAAAACACAACTTAAAGATCTGTAATGTGAGCCACTAAATCAAATAATAAGAGATCTGAAACAGCAGTGCTTCATTTTATCCTCAGTTTAAAAGTTTTCCTTCAGGTTCAGCTCTTAGAGACGGAAACATCTACGTACTGTTGCCGCGGTCTTTCCCGATGCAGAGTCTCTTCAGTGTCGTCCCTGTGACACAGTAAGAACCAGATCAGTTAAAGTGAAACTTAGAAACTTCAAATTAGAAAATTCACTGATGAAGAGACGATGACCAACGCAGGACACAGGGCAACAGAAGCTTCTGAGAACGGCTGCGGAACAAAGGAACAAAGGAACACGCTACTGTAAATCAAGCTAGCAGATGAGGAAACGAAGCACGGAGGCAGACATGCAGGTGGAGAGTCGCAGGAAGTGACGATAAAATATAATGATTCAGCACTTTACTGTGATGAAGAACACGTCCTCAAACACCCTGGAGCATAAGTGTTAAACTCAAGGCCTGCGGGCCAAATGGGGCCCGCGGGCCCAGGTCATTTAGTGTGGTTGGCACTGCTTGAATTTCTTAACTTGATCAATTTTTTAATTTTTTTATTTGTAACTTAAATAAATACTAATCAATTGCAGAATTGTATCTATTCATATGTTATAGAGTAGTTACAGCAACAACTGACCCTCACGGTGACCCCTGCCCTAGAGATTAACACTTTTTAACACTAGAAAATTGTGGAAAAAATATGTAGGTTGTTCAAAATGTCCACTACAAAAACACACAACCTTTGACATCTTTCCAAAGAAAATATTGATTTAAAAAAATATTAAAAATCATGAGGTGAGGCAACAGAAAATCCAGCAGAACAAAGACAGAAAAAACAAACATGGAAGTGAAAACACGCAGAACAAAGACGAGAAGCTACGGCAGAAGAAAAGAGGTACAAACAGATAGACAAAGACACAGGCCCACTGAGAAATCTAGCTCGCGGCTTGCTACTGGATTTATGGCTGACTCTCTCGGATGGTTGGGGGTAATTAGACCAGCCTGTAGAGGGCATAGTTCAGAGGGGGAGAAAGACAACCAGAGTAAGAGGAGCCCATTCAACAGAACATTCTCCATCATTTCAAACCAAAACACAAGAGCAAATATTTGCGCTAAGTCACTTCTCTGGTGAATGCAGTCGTCCACACTCACCTGGTACTGGTGCAGCCGGTGTGCTGGTACCGTCTGCGTGCAGTCCAGCGTAAATATTATCAGAGGACAGAGAGCCCTTGAGGGAGCAGGGCTGCTGAGTCTGCACCGGCTCCGAGGTGGAGCTGGGAATGTGACTGGTGCAGGAGCGAGCCCTGCCGTAGTCCGGGTACGGAGCCTTGGCCGGAGAACCGTTTAAATTCAGCGCCGGTTCCCCGGTTCCTGCAGCAGCACCTGGAAATGTAAAGAAAAAGAAAAACCCATCTTACCCCGCACCTCTGTGACCTGACTGGGCGTAGGTGAAACGACACTCACCGGATCGGGTGGAGTCGGACGTTTTGCTCGTGACGTTTCTGAACTGCTGGACCAGAGGACTGAGAAGTTTGCCGGGCTTCAGCTTGTGCCTGTTGGACCTCTTCCTGCGGCTGCTGTGTGGTGCGACGTTGGAAAGACCCAGACCTGGAGGAGGAGCTTTACCAAGTCGACGATACAGCAGCTCAACCTCTCCACGCTGATGGGCCTGGAGCTCAGAGATCTCCCTCAGGTGCCTGGGAGGACGGAGACGGAAACATGTTGATCGGCTCATAAGATGTTGAGGTAGTGAATGAGTTTGAGGATCAGTTTCTTTAAAAATTGGAACACTTTTTTTTTTTTAAGATGCAAAACATCTTGGATTTTTTCTAGAAAAGTTGTTTGAAAATTTTTTTTTCTTTGAAACATTTTTTTTGAAATTTTTTTTCAAGAAATGTTTTTATTTGAAAAATTTTTTTTTTGAAAATTTTATTTTGTCCCTCCTCTGCACATGTCCAAACCATCTCAATCTGGCTTCTCTAGCTTTTTCTCCTGACCTTACTGTCTGTGTTGTCCCTCTAATGACCTCATTCCTGATTCTGTCCATTCTTTGGTCATTCAAAATTGGTCAGTTTTTGAAAAATTTCATAAAAACTTTTTTTGAAAAAACATTTTTTCAAAACAATTATTTTGAAAAAAAAAGTTATCAAAAAAATTATTTTGAAAATTTTGTTTTTTGAAATTTTTTTTTAATTTTTTTTTTGTAAATTTATTTTTTGAATTTTTTTTTTTTTTTTTTTTTACTTAAGTTTCAGGTGAAGTACCAGTACTCTGTGCTTGTAGTTTTCACTGAGATCAGTCCTTACTTCTCCCTCAGCCGCTGCAGCTCTCTCTTCATGTCCGTGTCCTCCATCTCCGAGTCGTTGTCGCTGCTGCCGTAGGCCGAGCCCTGCACACCCCCGTGCCTGCTGGGCGAGTCGGAGCTCTGCACGCTGCTGCTGCGCCCTGAACGACGGAGGAAGGCCACCGCTCTCTTCATGAGGTCACTTCCTCTGCGTTCAGAGCGAGTGTGTCGGGACGGGCTGGCAGGAGCCATCTTGGCCGGGCTACTCTCCGCCCCGGAGTCCGAGGAGAGGAAGCGGCCGTGGATGGTGACGTCCGCGGGGACCGAGTTGGAGGTCAAAGCGCGGGGCAGGGACCCTCGCTTGGCCATGGAGGGGGGAGTGTCCAGGTAGAAATCCGGCGGCGCGGAATATCGGCTGCAGCGGTTTCTCTGTGTGATGTCATCCTCGGTGCTGACCACAGAGAAACGGCCAATCGTGGTGGACGTGACCATGGACTCAGTCGGACCCTGGTCCTGACCATATATGGAGGGGTGAGCCGGGGACGCGGCGCTGCTCCAACTTCTTTGTTTCACATCTCGTCTGTTGGCCACTTCAGGAGGAACAGAAATGATCTGCCAAGAGTGAAGAACAGAAACTCGTTCAAAAAAAAGATTAATTCAAAGGTAATTAAACTAATCTGGAAAAACAGCTCGTCTTCCAACACGTGTCCACATTCACACACATCGCACCTTGAATCGGCCCCTTGTTCCAGAGCACGAAGCAGAATGAGGGACATGTCTTCTTGACAGCGACGCTGAAAAACATCCAGTAATTAATTAATTATGTTGTCGTTTGTCGTTTGTTTGTGTTGGAACAGAAACGCTGCAGTACATACCACAGACGGCTGAGTCACTCAGGGTGCTCAGACTATCCAGTCGCTCCGGAATTTGAGGCTAGAAAAGATTTGAGATGAAAGAGAGGCGTGAGAAAACTGCTCTTCCACGAAGATGAAGATGAGTTTTAATAATAAAGGAATGTGGAAACGAGTGTCACTCTGCTGTCAGCTTTGAAGCCTTCGGTTCATTTCAAGTTTAAATTAAATAATAACAAAAAAAAATGTGACAAATAATTTGGAAAATACTAGGGGATGTCCGATATTAACTCTATGCCGAATACAGGCCTGGTAATATTTATGTATTTATATGTACAAACCACTGGTACCAGCATTCTGCATACAAATAGATTTATAAAATGAGCTGCAATGCTGCCATCTAGTGGCTTTCACTTTAACATGCAGCCGTTTATCCCCAAAACTTTTTTCAGGGCACACATCATTTGGGGAAACCCAGGCATTTATCAGAGGAAAAAACTAAAACGATTCTTACAGATAATAATAAAAAATAAAAAATTGAAAATATAAAAAATATACTTTTAAAATGTGCAAATATATAATATATAATCTAAATAATCATATAATTAACATCTGGTGTTTGTCACGTTCTCACGCTCACCAGCTGTTCTCCCGTCCTGTAGCGTCCCTCCCCCATGGGCCCTGGCGTGCTGTTTCCCGACCCCCCTGTGGCGCTTTCTGGACCAGGAGGAAACTGTACGTACTCGGTGCCGGAGCCTGGTGTCTCCGCCGCACAGCCTGATGGGTACATGGGGGCGTATTCCTGGTACAGCAGGTTTCTTAGTTTCTCGTCCAGTGTTTTTATGGTGCTGTCAACAAAGCCCCCGCGGCCGAGTCGCCCTTCCCCGTCGGACTCGCCGGGCCCCGCCCCGTGTTGGGAAGGAGCCGGGCTCTGGGGGAGCGAGGACACTTTGGCTCCTCCCATACTGGAAAACGGCTGATGCAGCACCACGGGCTGCTGCGGGCGGTCACTGCGTGTGGCCGTGGTGTAGGAGACGGACACGGCCTCCTTGGCTGGATCCTGCTCCTGGACTGGGAGCGGGGTCAGAGGAGACCCGGCCTGGGGTCCACTCACGTCCAGGGACAGTGGCATCACTAGAGGGCAGCACGGCACTTCTTCTGCTATTGACACCGGACTGGCCATGTCAGGTATGGGCTGAGCGGAGTGCACCGGAGAACTGGGAACCACAGGCGACCCCTGCAGGTCGTGCACGGGAAAAGACATGCGTGGAGATGACGGCGGCAAAGTCTGAGCTCTGGTCGGTCTGGTCTGAGGCCCGCTGGGCTGCACGCAGCTGCTGGCCGGCTCCACCGACGACACGGACTGGAGGGTCGGTGGGGCAGACACAGGGGGGGAGAGGGTGGCCAGAAGAAGAGGGTCTGTGTTCGACATTATGGGAGGGCTGCAGAATCCGTACACTTCGTAGGAGAAACCTCCGCTGCCGCCGGACATGGTCGACGATGAACCTTCATCTGCAGGAGCCGAGAAGAAAAGACAGTCACAAACAGCAGGGAATAACAGCCTTTCTAGCTGTTGCCACTAGATGGTGCTGCTTCCCAACGACTGTGTACAGTCACCTCTGGAGGCGGAGGGTCTTGCAGTGCCGCTGTCTGCAGGCTGGGTGTTGGTCGAACTCCCGGGTGACTGCGTGGTCGTGCCGTCAGACGGCGTCTCCTGGCTGGACGTGGGAGTTTCTTCAACGGGGCAAATAATGAACCAGCGTTTCCCCGTGTGAAGAACTGCAACACAAAACATTTCAGGAATTCACCTCCGGGGTTTTTGATGTGGACACTTTGAACAAAGTAGAGCGGAGATGTTATTTTTACCGTTCTGCTGGTAGACTGGCTGAGGAGCTCCAGGCTGCTGCGTCTGCAGGGGGAGAGGGAGCGCGGTGTTAGCTCAGTGGCTAACTGTGGGACTGGACACTGACGCTGTTCATGTCAAGTCTGTCTCAACACCTGACACTGTGTGTTCATGTTCATGTGTCTGACTCCCTCTGACTGATGTCTGTCTCAACACCTGACACTGTGTGTAAACCAGGGGCCAAAACTGTCCCTTTTGGTGAATGTTGAAACTGACGTTTTGTCAAATATTTCATTTTTATTTGTACTTATTTGCATGAAAACAAAAAGGGAAAAACATGGACTTATTGTTATTTATAGGGAATCTAACGAGGCCCTGGACCGACGTGAGTTTGATGTAATGTTTACTGATGACGATGCTACGACGATGCCGTCGTCCTACCTCTCCCACCACTCCCTCAGATATCTGCCCCTGTTGGGGGCTGCAGCTCAGGGTGGAGGCCTGTTCCCCCTCCATGTCTTCGTTCAGCACGTCCTCAGCTTTATCCACAATGTCCTTCAGCTGGTCAATGAAGATCTCCTTCTCCAGCAGCAGAATGAAGCCATTCTCCACCTGTGGACAAGAAGAGTTTTAGATGATGTGGAAATAAAATAAAATAAAATAAAATAAAATAAAATAAAATAAAATAAAATAAAATAAAATAAAATAAAATAAAATAAAATAAAATAAAATAAAATAAAATAAAATAAAATAAAATAAAATAAAATAAAATAAAATAAAATAAAATAAAATAAAATAAAATTAAATTAAATTAAATTAAACTAAACAAAGAATTGACTTGTGGAGTCACCATGTAAGTAGCGATCTCCTCCGGAGCGTCGCCGTCCAGATCAAATTTAAAGGTCACCATTTTGTGGTTGTGTGTCTCCAGCTGACATTCAACCATTTTATCGCCAGTGTTGCAGACCTTTGGAGGCAGAGGTCACATTTAACAGTCTGAAACATTGATATTTTGTAACCAGAAATGAGCACAGATGACACCGCGGCTCACATTGAGCATGCTCAGTTTGGGTTTGCTGGTCTTTTCTTGTCGGGAACGCGTCCGTGCAGACTTGCGGTGGTGTTTCCTGGGTTTTCCGTCGCCTTTGACTCCACCGGCCGAGCCCTCGTAGCCGTCACTGGTCTCCTTCCCAGATGTCACGTCAGTACTGAGACTAAAGGTCAAAGGTTTCAGTCAAGACCCCATGATGTACGCTACATGTAGAGGACAAACTTAATTTTTGTGAATATATTACTTCACTCACTTGTCGTATGTGTAGCTGGGTAAAGATACTGGTCTGTCCTGATGTACTTCCTGCAGAAAGAAACACAGACAAGCATTTAGTAAGATCTAAATAAAAATGTATTTTGAAATTTTTAAAAAATCGTGTTTTTGTTTTGTTTTGGTTTTTTTAAAAGATGTTCTAGGTATTGATTCTTCATTCTTCAAAGTAGGGAATGGTCTTTGTAAATATTGTCACTGTCTCTGCCTGTAGCTGAGGAAACTGCCCTCATGATGAAACTAAAAAGAAAACCAACCAATCAGCAGCGAGCGTTGCTGCTGATTGGTTTGTGAAGTGTGAAAATTCTCCTTACCTCTGCACCAGGCTCCTGTTGAAAGGTGCTGGATGCAAATGTGGTTTCAAGATTTTGCTGAGTCGTGCCCAGACTGGCACATTCAGGCAATGACACTGCTGTGTGGATGCCAGCAGGGTGCAGCACTGAAGCTGAAACTGCATCTGCAACCGCAGCCGCAGCCGTAGCCGGAGCTGGAGCAGAGGCCAAGGCTGCAGATTTCACCGGAAGAGTGACAGGGACCGAGGCGAAGACCAAACCCGCGGAGGGCTGGGGTCGGTCTGCAGCAGAAGGTGCGTCTGGGCCTGGACGGGTCAGTGTCGATGGTTCACTCGTCGGACCAGCAGAGACCGCCACCGTACCCGCTGCTGAGGCCGGAGCCGACACTGGTGTCTGTGTCTGGGAATCCATTTGTAGCGTAGACGGCACCGGAGCTGGACCACTAGGAGGTGCAGTTACGTCCAGGTTAGCTGCAGCGGCGTCTCTGTCCCCCCACGGTGGGCTCTGGAGGCCGTGTGGGACGGGCTGGACCTGAACGTCTCCTAAAGTTCCCTGTGGAACTGTTGCCTGTGATTGGAACAACAACCATAGCACTTTAAAGCAGCTGTTGTTCAGTCAGGTCCATATTGTTCTCCCATAAACTCAATATGCATGCCCTGCCATGCATTACACCAGGGGTGTCAAACATACGGCCCGCGGGCCAAAACCGGCCCACAAGAGGGTTAAATTCGGCCCGCTTGATGAATTTGAACCAACGTGAGTTTGACACCCCTGCATTAGACGGAGCAGTCAAATGGATTGTACACCTCAGTATTACAGTTTTCCCATCACCAGCCCTTACAATGAGAACTCAGTGGAATATTCACCTGGACAGGCTGCTCAGCCACGTCTGGCTCAGCGTAGGGGGGGGGGGGATGGGGGGGTCGGACCCGG